ACACCCCACAGCTCCATCCCACAGCTCCATCCCTCATCCCACAGCTCCATCCCAACCCCCACAGCTCCATCCCACACCCCACAGCTCCATCCCACACCCCACAGCTGCATCCCACACCCCACAGCTCCATCCCACACCCCACAGCTCCATCCCACACCCCACAGCTCCATCCCTCATCCCACAGCTCCATCCCTCATCCCAGAGCCCAGGAAAGGGTCCCCATCCCAATCTGAGATGGAGATGGAGGGAATTCCCGACTCTCACGGCATCCAGGGATGGGATGGGATGGATGGGATGGGATACAGGGATGGGATGGGATACAGGGATGGGATACAGGGATGGGATGGGATGGGATACAGGGATGGGATGGGATGGGATGAGCACAGCCCACAGCTCCGGGAGCAGGGGGGGAAAGGGATGGGGGGGATGGATTTGGGATCCTGGATGGGAGTGGATTTGGACAGGGATCCCAGGACAGGGATGGGTTTGTTATCCCAGGACAGGGATGGGTCTGTTATCCCAGGACAGGGATGGGTCTGTTATCCCAGGACAGGGATGGATCTGATATCCCAGGACAAGGATGGATCTGTTATCCCAGGACAGGGGTGGGTTTGGGATCCAGGACAGGGATGGGTTTGGGATCCCGGGGTGTTCCAGAGGTCCCATCCCAGGACTCACATGGGGATGGCCCAGTCCTGGACGTGCTGTTGGAAGCGACAGTCGTAGGTGAAGATCCGGTGGCTCCTCCCAACCCTCTCCTGGCGCTTCCCGAAGAGCAGCCGGAAAAAACCCCGGTTGATCCAACGGACCAGCCCGGGAAAGAACGTGCTGAGGGGACACAGAGGGATTGGGATCCCACTGGGACACTGCAGGGATCATCCAGGGGCAGCCACAGCTTCCCTGGGAATTCCAACCCAGCCGGGAATCCCTTCCCAATCTCCCCTTTCCCAGTGGGAAGCCATTCCCTGTGTCCTTCCAGGCATTGCAGGCCCTGATCCCAAATCCCTCTCCAGCTCTCCTGGAGCCCCTGCAGGCTCTGGAAGGGGCTCCAAGCTCTCCCTGGATCCTTCCCTTCTCCAGCCTGGCCATTCCCAGCTCTCCC